CTTCCTGAAAATCCTCCCACTGGCTTGCAAGACAGGCATGACCGAAGAGAAGGATGGAAGGAGGCTGGAAATGGGAAAGCATTTGATAAAATGTTCTAACACTAATAAATGAAATATCATCATTCCTTATGTCTTGGTATGAAATTTTCCTGATCAGTGTGCAAAAATAACAAATTAAAAGCCAGAATGACCTTACTGATTGAAAATACAGAGAATAGTGTGAAAACCAACATGGCAAACTTTTCCAGTTATTACATAGCACAAACTTCTTTTTTGTTATTATACTTGGAAAAAGGCATATTTTAATAATATAAGCAACAGTATATTCTTCTAGCTGCATTCAGTTTATGTAGCATCATAAACCTCAGAACAATTCCTTGTCTGGCTTCTGAACCGTGCAAGAGTTTCCGTTCCCCTGAGAAAGTGCTTCCTCTCTAGGGAGGACCAGTGTAAGCGTGGGTCTGAGCTGGCATTCAGGAGAGCCATTAGTGCCGTCAGCAGGGATCCTTTATGATCCTGGACTTAGCTGCTTTCCCTAGCGCAGGTCCGGGGAGCGGGGTGGGGGGGGGTCTCCCGACGCCGGTATATTTTGCAGACCTCTGCCTGTGTAACAGCAGCAGTCCTTATTGCTGATACTTACTGCTACGTTCCAATATCGCAGTCAGCAGCCCATGCGTTTTATAGTAATCCTGTGTGAACCAGTGCAAATTAAGGCACCCTAAAATTCCTATTTTAAAGCATATGGAGAGATTTAAAACTGTCTTTTTTTGGTGGGTGTCTGCAGAAGACATTCTGGCAGTGAATGGTTATGAATGCTCTCTAGGCCGTTTCTCCTGCAAAACTCTGTTCTGGACTGCAGATGAATAAACAATTAAGTTTAATCAGTTTGGTATGTATTTATTGCAGATTTTTTCTACTAGAAAGTCTTTGTATTTAAAGTGCTCAAGGAGGGCATGCTTATAGAATTATTTTCATCACAGAAGAACAGATTTCAATAAACTGCACAAAATCACATGAAGAATGGAACCAAACCTGGAGTTCCTGTCTCCTGGTTTTCTATTCTTATTACTAGCTGGTTTTGCTGTGTGAGTAATTAAATATAAGCAGTTTTCAAGAATATTATGTTTTAAAAAAATGCATTCAGAGTCTCCAAAAAACTTTGTATTTTTAATATAAATGTTCTAAACTGAGAATAGTCCATTTTGATTACAAAGCTTCAAGCTTTGCAAAGATAAAGATGCTGAGAACACAATGCCCCTCACATTATGAAGTATATCATTTTAAAGTCCTTATTCAAGTCAATGAAAATCTCCCACTGATTTCAGCAGGCTTTAGGTGAGTCCCATAGTTGCCTACTTGTAAAAATGCTGTCAATATAAAACAAGTTTTGCTTGAAGAAGTTTTAGTTTGACAACCTGATTGGCAGAGATTTTAACACAGCTGTTCCTAGGCTCGCTCTCTTGCAAAAATATATTCCCAAATTCAACAACTTGTTAATTCATTCTTTCCTTATTTATGGAAATCACAACTTTGCGTACAGAATTGTAAACCCCACAATAAAAAGATGCCTTTGATGCTCTAATGTTTCTCCTTCGATCAAACTGGATACCACACTGAATGTTATGCTTGTTTTCAAGTGACCTCTCGTTCTTTAACAAGCTGAACTTTGGCAAGACGAAAAGCATGTTGGTCGTGTTGCCTGTGCAACCTTCAGGCCGAAGGGGAGGGATACTACAGGCTGCTTCAGCATCACTGTGGTTCTGAATATGGTAAGGAGGTAAATAATCAAAACAGAAACAAAAACCAGCATCAGTAGTTGTGTGCTCATTTGCCATGGGTATTTATATAATGTATATTTATTTAAACTTTTCTACATATGTCCTATTCATTAAGAATTACTAGTACCATAAATTAACCTCTACAGTGCTAAGTTTGGGCTCAGTCATGTCTAATTACTTTCTGATACAAGTCTGCTAGCTCCAGATGATGTTGTACCTGAGGTGAACTTGACCGTTTCTAACAATTGTCGTCGTCTTCAGCGTACTCATTCTGAGGATGCTGCTACTGCAAAACGTACAAGCTCCAGCCACTAATCTGTAGACAGTAACTTCCATAAGCGTACTGTCTTCCAAAACCGTTGAGTACCTCTGAAAGTTTCAAGTTCTGAACGCTTAAGCTGAAATAAAATAAATCAGTATCCAGAATGTGTAAGCTTCGCCGTTTCTGCGAATATGTCTCTGCTGGTATCTCAGCGTGGGCACGTATGATGAATCACCTTTAACCTCATCAGAATCATATTTTGTAAATACTTACAATACATGTAGGACTTTTGCAGCCTAGGTATTTTTTATTTTTTCAGAATTAGTTTGTTGCCCACTAACCACTTTGTCTGTCACTTTTTTATCCTTTTTTTGTAGGAGATTGGGTGTTTGCCAGTTGTCTTCTAAGCACATTGAAGAATTTTGACTCTATTCAAGCCGGTAAATGCTTTTCACAGGCTGACGTGGAATTCATTTGGGAAGCTTGCTCAGGTCACATACGTTGTCAGCACCAAAAACTGAGATTCACAGCACTACGAAGGAAGCCAGCTATTTAAACAAATGGAGCCATCCTAAAATAGCCTAAATGTGCCAGTTCACACTAGGCAAGAAACTCTCCCAAGCTTTTATCTCCATTTAAATTCCTCATTCTAATGCAAAGGACTGATTTCTCAGAGGAGTGTTGACAGTTAACACAGAAAAAAAAATTGTGATTAAAATCTCCTGAAAGGATTTCGTCTACAGAAACATGCCTAGTCTTCCATTATAAATTCTTAAATCACCATTAAACACTTTATCTTCCATTATCTAAGAGTAAATCACCACCTAATTACCTCAAATTTTAGATATAATTAATGCCTTCCTGAAACACAGTAGAATTTCCACTTAATGCTGTGATTTGTGCATTACGGACATCAGACTTCTTGTAAAAATGTCCCAGTAGATCACTACAGAGTACATTTATATCTTTGACATCCATATAAAAATGGATTTATGGGCTCTGCCTCTCCTATCTTGCCTGACAGGTGCAGGTGGCCCAGTCCGTCAGCAGGAGCTCTCTCTCCTGGTAGGCAGCTGCGCCGTCGGTGACTGCTGGACGCGTCGATCCTTTGGCAGTCCTGCTGCGTTCCTCAGAGTCTTCTAGGGATGAGCTGCACAAGTGGGGACCGCGCTGACCCACCACCATTGCTCCAGGATGGTGCCAAAGTCCATTTTTGTGAGTTGGATCTGATTTGCAACTGAAAGAACGACCTCTTGTGCCAAGGATGTCCTCTGAGTAAGGAGGATCTGAGAGCAGGATGTCAGTGTGCGCTGTCAAGGTACAGATCAGATGCTCCGTGTTATAGAACACACTTCTGGCAAAGGAAAATGCTATTTTAGGTTTTTCTTGAAGCATCTTTTCAGAGGCAGCGTTCACACGGTCATGGCACGTTGTGCAGGCTTCTCTTAAAGGCTAGCACAACAGATTACAAAGTGACTTGAGGATGAAGTGCAACAAATCAGGTTTGAGGTTCTTTTTACTTAAAACTGCTTACTGTGCAAATTTAGATTTGCATTAGGCCTTAGATCTGAGAGTAACTGTTCCTGAGCCTCCCATGTGCAAGGCATATTTGCCTGAGACCGATTATTAGAGTTCATGCACTTTTTCTTCTTGCGGCAACTGGACTTCCTGACCAAGTATACACAAAAGCAGAAGAAAATAGCAAATGAAACAAAATATACTTTTTTTTCTACGTATTGTTACCAATTCAGTAAGACCACAAGCGATCAGAGGATTCAGCAGAAAGCCAACTCATCTATCAGGCACTAGGGAAAAAGAACCAATGGAAATAGCTGAGCGGCCGTGTCAGCACCAGCATGTCCTAAGTGCCTGTTTGTCCCTTTTTTGCCAGTCTGCAGCTGAAGAGCAAGGTGTCAGCTATTTGAGCTACCTGTGGCTAAAGGCACCTTTTCATTCTAATGCTAAAACCTTACACACAGCAATAACGACCTGCAAGGCTTTCAACAGCAAGGCCTGTGTTCCTAAGGCTAGTCGTCAGAGGTTTCTTTAGCAGATTTGCTAATTACTGTACTACCTGATGCTAAATTTGCCTTTCCCAAGCCCTTTTCTAAGTTTCGCAAGCTTTCTGCAAAAGTCAGGTGGGGAATCCCACCGCTGTTCTGCTTTTTGAAGCTTGTCTCAAGATTGGTATGATGAAAATCAAATAGGAAGGTAATGAAAGCACATCTTCCTGGCAGAGTGTGTGATCTAGGGAAGAAGTAGTTAATGGAGAGATTAAATTCAGAACTGATACATGTATGTTATCTGAAAAACATGATTTGCAAAATGGCACCACACTGCAGGCTTGGGCTCTGGTACCCTTTGCCTGTCCGTCTCCTCTGGGAGAGGAGCCTCTTGTGCAGCGCTGGAATAAATCCTGAGATGCCCCAAATAAGTCTTTCCTCCCACCAACCACACACTGTGTAGGGTTACGTTAACCAATCCTGGTAAAGCATCTCACCTACTAGGCTATTGAATTGGTTGGTATTTTGGGGTGGATAATATGTTCCTAATGTATTTAGTAGCTCCAATGCATCTGGCATTTATATGAACAAAGATTCAAACCTAGCTCTGAATTTAAGTCATTTCACAATATGAGCAAAAAATATGTTTGTGGGAAGTACTGCATTTATGTTGTTGTCTGTGACACATCTATTGTGCAATAGAGAGTGGAGAATAATAGATGCAGTAGTGCAAAAATGGTTTAGAAAGTTTTTAATCAGTGAATATCTAAAGATAGAGAGGCAATAATCTTTGCTGTCTTGCAGTACTTTGCTAAAGTACATTTGTAAGGCAGCAAAAAACATGTTTCATAGAACTGTTCAGTTAACAATAATGATGCATATTGGTAAAAGTGGGCTTTCTCTCATTCCAGTATGAAATTCTTGATTTTCAGAAGGAAATCACTTCTCTGGCAATCATTATGTAAGGGCCAAATGATAATT